TAGCTTAGTGGTCTGACGTGCCTCGCGCACAACCCAGGAGACGCGTCCTCAGGCTAAAGGAACGTGACAATGTCGCACCTTCAATTAGCACGGTTGGCAACGCACGGTGCGAAAGAAGTTCAACGTACATAGTACAATTTAAATGTTCCGTGAGTAACACTCTCACGAGATCGATGTCTGTTTTCGTGCGGGTGTCAGCCAACTAACCCCCCTCCCCCCCCCCCAGCCCACTGATGATACTGTGAGGGGTCGGCAGCGTGTGACGTGCGTCTGTCGCTCTGACAAGCCCGAGTCATCCAAGGCAAGGATGCCGGCCAAGGCTGGATATAAAAGTAGAAAAAAAAAACACCTCTCGCTAATGATACGGCTAAAAATAAGCGCTGGAATAAACAAGGAATACTGATAAATGTCAACGCAATGCACCCTCCACCCCCCCCCCCCCTCCGAGCGTTGTGGGAATGGCGCACTTGCTCCGAATCACTCAGGAGGCGGTTGTTGTGACGGCTCTGAAGAATGCGTGGGGGTGGGGGGTTGGTTGGTGGGGAGGGTGGGGGGGGTGACTGGTGGAGGGGGTGGTGGTGGGTAGGGGGGCAAGGGGGCAGTGCTCGACTGACCGTGGCCTTGCGGGGGCCCTGATTCACGCAAGCGTTTACTTCATCAAATCCGTTCCAATTCAGCGGAGCAATCACTTTTGGCGCAAATCACTGCGTCGCGCAATCTGCTTCGCAGAAATCACTCTACCGCCGCCGCAGACTTACTTAAAGCCCAAGCTCCGAGGAGACGATTAGCTAGCACAAGTTTGAGTTCATTACGCGAGTGGCGTCGGCCGCACGCGTTGGCAAACTGGCCAAACTGACGAGATTGAAAATGAGAATGGCGAATGAAGCTGATTATGGGTCGACGTTGTCTGTGCGCTTGCCTTCCCACTAAGAGGTAAGCGCGTGCGTGGACGCCAGAGGATCGATGCAATGCGTCTGAAGGAGCCCTTCGGACCCTGGACGCGCGCGTTATCACAAAGCACCAAGGGGGCCGTTCATAAATGACGTCACGCACCTGGGGTGACGGGGGGGGGGTTTGAGAAATGTGACGTCACATCAAATTGCGCAACTTTAAATAAATACAGACAACACGTTCTGCTTAATTAAATAGGCTTTTTAATAAACGTTTCTCCTACAACATCAGAGTGCAGCGCCACATTAAATACGCACTACAATGACAATAGTTTAAAGCGATTTGAAGCATGTTTTATTTGGTGGGGGGGGGGCAGAGCTTTATGACGTCATATTTGAGGGGGGGGGGTCTGACTTTGTGTGATGATTGGGGGGGGCAAAAATCGTCCAAAATCGCGTGACGTAATTTATGGACGGCCCCTTATCGCATGCGTATTTATTATTTTATAACAAATTAGGTCTGGCTGTGCCCACTAAAAAAAAAACATTTTCCACAACAGTCGTGGGCCAAGTAGGTAAAGCAAGATCGCGTGCCACTTTCCCCATTGCTCTGGCTGGACAAGGTGAGACATCAAAACTTTGCACGCTTCGGCGGCGGCGGCGGCGGATCTGTGGCAATGTTTTTGTTTTGTTTAAAGCTCGCAGTGCGAAGCCACCTCCTTGCTCGCGGCTCCCCACGCTCGCACAAAAGTTCCACGTCGTGTTGCCCGAGCCTTCCTAATGCGCGTTTGGCCACGGGGGTTTTGTTGTTGTTGTTGCTTGAGCTGAAGTTTTTGAACCCCCACCATGTTCTAAATGTAATGGTCGCGTTCAATGGGCGCGGTTTATTCCAAGGGTTGTGTCCTCATTAGAAGTAAAGCCGTTGGGGCTGACATTTATTCGCTCCTCTTGACCCTCCGGAACCCACCACGCCCACCTTAACGAGAGATTATCCAAGAGAAGGCATCCTTTTTTTTAAAACAAGACGCTTTTTTGTGTTAGCGGCAATGCAGTCGCTTTAGTGAGAGAAGCTCCTCGCAGACAACATGTTGGGGCCTGTGAAATATCAGGCCAGAATGTTGTCCTCTTGTATGAACAGGAAACGGCACACGACCGGGTCGCCCTCAATGCAGCCAATGTCGTCAGGGGCAAAGAAGGCTAAGCCGGATTGAGCCTGGTCGGGTTTTCCGGCTTGGGTTGTGAGGTGGCCAGGAGATGGCACAATATCCTTGAATCTGATCGTGGGACACATTCAGCGTTGGTTTGGTTCATTCCAGGTGCTCCGCTTTCCTCCCACATGAAGCCAAACACTCGCGAATTGAATTGGCCAAACAAACCAACGAAGGACCCTCCTTGAGAATAATCCTGGGACTCGGTTGGATTGATAAAGGTCGTGCCTATGATTAGAAAGTCCTGCCAGTCCTACAAAACAAACAAACCATTAGCTGTCACCGTGACATCTCCACTGCCTTGGAGAACACAAGTTTATACATATGTTTTTTTTAAATATCTTTTTACACGAACTTTTTCCTTCTCAATCTGCCCTGCTACCCTCTTCACCTCTTATTGTCACAACAAAGCCTCGCTTGAGCTTGCGTCTCGGATAAAGCCCAGCAACTGCAAAGCGAGGGGACACCATCGATCGCTCGTGTCCGATGAGAGCGTCGCTCTGTGTCTCAGAGACACGAAAGGAAGCGGGCACCCCCTGCATTCATCCATTGCGGCGGTAGCAGCAGCAACAGCGGCCATGCTCAATCCACTGCTGGATGAAGGCCTCCCCAATGGCGCTGTCACCTCTCACGAGCCTTGCGATGCAGCAATCCGCATAGTACCACCGGCGCTGCAATGGACACCAGGCCCAGACTGGCCAAAGGGGCAGCAGTCCATAGGGCAAATGTCAGGTGAGGTCGGTCCATTCCGAGGGCCGGTGGGTCGGTCGGCGTGGGGCAATTGCAAGTGTGATCAAAGTAAAAAAATATATTAAAATATGTTTTGATTAAAATATTTTATTACCTCTAATGTGTACTCATTGCTTATTTACGCTCTCAGTTGGCATTAAGTTTCCACCATATTCGGCAGCTCCCAAGATTTTTCCTCACAGGCCCCATTTGTGTTCTTTTTTTGGACCCAGCCCCAAATGGTACCAATGAGGATCGCGCGGCAATTTGGGTCCGGTTTGTATACAAAATGCCTGCGGTGATTTTTTTTATTTTTTTTGTTTACTCCCAGTCCGTCACTGCGCTCCATCTCCTTGGCGGACGTCCTGTCGAGTTCGTCTCGAGGTGGCCAAGCCGGTGGGGGGCTTTTGCAGAGGGAAGTGGGAACGTACAGTACTTATGCATTCGTCCAACGACGACAGAACGCTCTCCCTCTCGATAAAAAGGGCTGTTAGCAACGAGATATTTATTGCAGATTTTTTTGTACGCTCGAGCAACGTAACCTAAAACGTGAGAGCGATACGAGATATATTATTCAATTTACGACCGAGGATTTCTCGGAGAAAGCCGTTGTTACATTATACATCCATTCCTCTTTTTTAATGCGTTTCATTGCGAGCGTAGCCTTGCCCCTCGAGGAGACTGAAATCAGAGCTGGATAAACCAGATTTCTTTTTTAGTTTTCGATTATTCTCCGAGCCATTAACAGCCACACCTGCATACTGTACGTTACGTGTCCTGCAGAACGTGCAGAAAATAATGGGATCTCACCCTGCATCGTGATATTATTACCGGTGTGTGGTGTTTTATATATATTATTATTATTATTACTTTTTACTGTATATCAGGTAAAGCACTGATACCCTGAGAAATGTTCTTATTTTATCAGAGGAGCCCTGGGCTAGAAAGCAATGCGGGAAACTTACGAGTATACAGTCGAATGTTCTAATATCGATAATGCAACATCGATGCACACATTGGAACTATAGCTGGAGATAAATTAACTGTGAACAGCAAACAAACAGTACCGCAGTGACAAAAACAACTTTGTTTTACTTAAATTAACAATGCAATGATTTGATCTATTACTTTATTTACATTTCACTTATATTTTTATATTATTAATGTATAATTTATTTGACTTCATTAACTTCATTTCCAGCAAAACAACTATTTTGAGCCGTGAGATGTACTGTATAGCTCGAGAGAATTTACATTCAGAAATGTACGCGTGTGTATAAACACTAATTTTATTTGTCTGAAAACATCTTCATAGATAGGTGACTGCAGAACTTGGGCAATTGTTGGTAGGACCGGCTCAAAACCTGGCCGGCTGACTTCGAGCCGCATTCCCCAACAAAGCGTACAACGTGTCTAGGTCACCGTGTTACCAGCCTACAAGTGGGAGAAATATCTCGGTTCATACGAATCAAAATTGCATCCGTACATGTATATTACAGGAACAGCCCCCCCTCCTTGTCAATCCACTGCTGGATGAGGGGCCTCCCCGCGGGGGTCATTGAACCGCACTTCTCCACGCTGACTGGACACTGCGTGTTGGTAAAGGCACTGCCTCAGCATAGGCATCGGGAGCAAAGAAGTCCGGTACAATAATGATGGGATGCTATGCATGGCGGTCACCCATCCCAGCACGATTCGGGCTCGTAGCCTCCTTCAGCTTCCGAGGTCTGACGAGCCGTGATGTATTCTGGGTGACGAGGTCACAGGCGAATATTGCGCATTTAAAACTGGATTTCATTCTGGAATTATTGCACTGCGCAGACTGGGTGGCAATGCATTGGGCCGGCTGGCACTATGTGGTCTATTACAGTCGAGGCTCCGAGCCGTATTGTTTTGAAATAACGCGCATTACCCGGCGCGAATTAGAGAGCATCAATAGCCACGTTGCGGCTGTTGCGGCTGTTTCAACAGCGCGAACGTGTGCCGGATTGGAAGGTTTGGAAACAGGTCACTGATTTTTTTTTTCGCTCCCAAAATATTGAATGCACAGACGGCGGGCAATTACATAATCTGATTGCATGGGAAAAGGGTTTACCGTGTGTGTTTGTGCGTGTAATTTCTGTTGTTTATTTATCGCTCTTCTCTTTCTCTCTGCCCTCTCCCCCACCGTCAGGGCTGATGTTGAACAACTCGCCATACGTCGGCCAACAGGTGAGCATGGAACAATGCAATGACACTTCGTCGTGACCGATGCATCGTGGATAACACATTGCGTGGCAGGAAAGGGGGGAGGAAGGGAAATACCCCCCCCCCAACCCACATAGGAGGGCTCGTCCGTTGTGCTTGTCTTGTAAGTACGCACGTCCGTTGAACTTCTTACGTGGCCAACCTCTGCTACTCGGCGTGTTGGTTGACACGATGTCCGACGTTTCCGCTCCACGTACTTCACCAAAGAGACTCCGGAGCGTGCAAGCCAATTGTCGGGACACCGCAGGCCGAGAGGGACGCGCGGCACACCGCTGACGACGGTTCGCCGGGCTGCCGCTGCCCAGCGGTAAACCCCGAGGGTGGATCGACGCGGGGGGCCGTGGTCGCGAATCGGGATTCAATCCCCTAGGAGGTGACCACCCTCAATAGCGACGGACGGCACGTCCTACGGGATTGCACCTCGCTCGCTCGCAGCTCGCGATGACCGGAACACGTTGTCTGCGGGATGGAAGGTGATGGGACAAGCAACTTTCGAGGTTGGGAAATGGAAGGCGGAAGAGAAGTGTTGTTTCCGCAGGCAGGAAGACGACGTTGTGGCGGGTGTTGCACTGTTATAGGATGGAGGAGGATTAGGGTCGGCAACTTGGGGTTTGGGAAAACTCAACATTGCGGGAGAGCGTCGCACAGTTTTTGTAATCAGGGAGCGGAGGTTGCGATTGGCGGGACCTGTGTGTGCGGGGCGGAGGAGGTTTAGATTTACCGAGGCGACATTGGAGTGGCACCCAGGGGTTGTTCACGGTGGCGGTAATGGGAATGTGGGAGCGAACCCTGAAGGGCAGGGCTCGACTTTGCAACAACTTTGGTAAGCAGCAGACGAAAGAGAGATCGATGGCGTTGGTGCGGTGCCATCGACAGCATTGGCCATGATGGCCTCGTGACCTCGACTCGCCGGCTTGAGGGTTTCCACCGTTGAAAAGATGTCGCGCTTTGTTGAATTCCCTCGCGCGCGTGGATGAATTGTGATGGAGAATCCCACATTTCCTCCACCTAACCTTCTGCCCCCCACCCCCCTCAAAAAACAATCTCACATTTTCACGTGGCTTTTTTTCTCAACAAGACATTCTATATTTGCCACTCAAAACACTTTTGCACAAATACTGGTTATTTGGATCTTCTGTCGCTGTCCCCGGAGTGCTTGTCCCGTGTCATTATCCACTTGCCAATCATGGCTGGGCAGAGCCGAAGGAAGAGCATCCACTCACAATCAGTGGAGACGAAGACAGATTTCCACGTGTCTTTGTTTTTGATTTCAAGCTGTGTGACACACAGCAAGGACACGATGCCTGTCAACAGCGGCTCGATAGCATGGTCGGCTACGTACAGTGAGGGAAAAAAGTATTTGATCCCATGCTGATTTTGTACGTTTGCCCACTGACAAAGAAATGATCAGTCTGTAATTTTAATGGTAGGTTTATTTGAACAGTGAGAGACAGAATAACAACAACAAAATCCAGAAAAACGCATGCCAAAAATGTTATAAATTTATTTGCATTTTAATGAGGGAAATAAGTATTTGACCCCCTCACATCCAGAAAGATTTATGACTCCCAGGTGTCTTTTATACAGGTAATGAGCTGAGATTAGGAGCACACTCTTAAAGGGAGTGCTCCTAATCTCAGCTTGTTAACTGTATAAAAGGCACCTGTCCACAGAAGCAATCAATCAATCAGATTCCAAACTCTTCACCATGGCCAAGACCAAGAGCTCTCCAAAGATGTCAGGGACAAGATTGTAGACCTACACAAGGCTGGAATGGTCTACACGACCATTGCCAAGCAGCTTGGTAAGAAGGTGACGACAGTTGGTGCGATTTTTCTCAAATGGAAGAAACACAAAAGAACTGTCAATCTTCCTCGGCCTGGGGCTCCATGCAAGATCTCACCTCGTGGAGTTGCAATGATCATGAGAACGGTGAGAAATCAGCCCAGAACTACACGGGAGGAACTTGTCAATGATCTCAAGGCAGCTGGGACCATAGTCACCAAGAAAACAATTGGTAACACACTACGCCGTGAAGGACTGAAATCCTGCAGCGCCCGCAAGGTCCCCCTGCTCAAGAAAGCACATATACATGCCCGTCTGAAGTTTGCTAACGAACATCTGAATGATTCAGAGGACAACTGGGTGAAAGTGTTGTGGTCAGATGAGACCAAAATGGAGCTCTTTGGCATCAACTCAACTCGCCGTGTTTGGAGGAGGAGGAATGCTACCTATGACCCCAAAAACACCATCCCCACCGTCAAACATGGAGGTGGAAACATGCTTTGGGGGTGTTTTTCTGCTAAGGGGACAGGACAACTTCACCACTTCAAAGGGACGATGGACGGGGCCATGTACCGTCAAATCTTGGGTGAGAACCTCCTTCCCTCAGCCAGGGCATTGAAAATGGGTCGTGGATGGGTATTCCAGCATGACAATGACCCAAAACACACGGCCAAGGCAACAAAGGAGTGGCTCAAGAAGAAGCATATTAAGATCATGGAGTGGCCTATCCAGTCTCCAGACCTTAATTCCATAGAAAATCTGTGGAGGGAGCTGAAGTGTCGAGTTGCCAAATGTCAGCCTCGAAACCTTAATGACTTGCGACAAAATCCCTCCTGAGATGTGTGCAAACCTGGTGGCCAACTACAAGAAACGTCTGACCTCTGTTATTATCAACAAGGGTTTTGCCACCAAGTACTAAGTCATGTTTTGCAGAGGGGTAAAATACTTATTTCCCTCATTAAAATGCAAATCAATTCATAACATTTTTGACATGCCTTTTTTCTGGATTTTTTTGTTGTTATTCTCTCTCACTGTTCAAATAAACCTACCATTAAAATTAAAGACTGATCATTTCTTTGTCAGTGGGCAAACGTAAAAAATCAGCACGGGATCAAATACTTTTTTTCCCTCACTGTAAAGTGCGATATGAACTTCAACATACGGAGGTGCACCCAGCACACAACTCACTTTGTTTTTCGTGAGAGGCTGCGTGTCTATATCGTTTACACTGGGGGAGCGGTAGCGCATTGGTTAGAGCACTTCGCTATGAAACCGGCGACCCGGGCTAGATTCCCCGCTCATGGCCAATAACAGTGGAAAATTGTCGAACCGGTTCTGGGCTTCGACTCGGTCGATTCGGCCTTAAAGGAGTAGCTGGTTGCGGTGTGTAAACATCGCCACTCGGGAGACAGAGGCGGCCGGGCGTGGTGCTGGCCACCCACCCCCTCGTTGTGCCGTGGCGGGCTTCATAGGCGCTCGCAAACATCACTTGCCCCAACAGGCTGTTAAGGCTGCCCAGCGGAATCTATTGTATTTGCCTTGGCAGACTGTGCACACACCTCCTCGTTGGATTGGAACCGCATGAGCAGCCACAAGTTTATAATTGCTGCGGTGTACGGATCAGAAACGTGGGCGTGAATGAAGAAAATGAACAAAAAAACTTTCGTGTGCGCAAAGGAGCGTGGTCAGATGCGTGCCTTTGTATTACGTTGAGAGACAAATGATGGCCAATGGTTGAGAATAACTGTAGAATGACAGCGACTGCTCTGAACACCGCTTAGAGTACGTCCTCAGCAGAAGTGGAGCAATGAACCCTGCTCGTCTGAAGGGAGCTTCGGTGGATTGGTCTTTTCAAAGTTATATTAAAACTGTGCTATGGGCGTAACTCTCACAGATAGCGGTGCTGATATAGCCCTGGAAGTCGACCGTACAGAACTACTTCTGAAGTCACTTCAACAGGCTTCCTTATCGACACGTAGATCACACCTTTCACAAACCATGACAAGAGTGTCGGTCACGTGTTAAACCACAACTTCTCATTCTCAGAGCTGCAAAAAGCCAACATGTATATACAACTAGCAGCCCCCACGTCCTTTGGATGAGGCATGAGACCGCCCATCCCTCACACCCTCCAGCCAGCAAAACTTGTTTTTTTTTGTTATAACACAAAGAGTACGGAAGCGGCGATTAGTGCGATCCTTTTATTGTGCAGTCCCAAGTGGCTGGGCTGAGACCATCGACTCGCTGCGCTGGAGAATACGACTCAAGCACAGGTGGCTCAGACCTGGCTCCCTGCCACTCACCATGGACCTCCCCCCCCCAACACTCCCCCCCCCAACACTCCCCCCCAACACTTCCCCCCCCAACACTCCCCCCCCAACACTCCCCCCCCAACACTCCCCCCCCAACACTCCCCCCCCCAACACTCCCCCCCCCCCAACACCCCCCCCCCCAACACTCCCCCCCCCCAACACTCCCCCCCCCCCAACACTCCCCCCCCAACACTCCTCCCCCCACCTTTCCCAAGTCAGAAAAGCTCCGTTCGGCGAGACGGAGGAGAGTGACGCGCGACTCATCTGGGACGTCTCCACATCCGCGGCCACATCGCCGATGGTGGCTCGGAGCGGGCGTGGCACGGGCACGCGAAACAGGGGATCGATAGCGAGCATCCCGTGAAACAGACAAACTAAAAAATTATAAAAAATAAAAAAATCGCAGCAATTTGCTTCACTGCCATTGGCTGTGCGCGCGCGAGTCGCGCACCACCTGTGTGTGTGCGTGCGTGCGAGTTTGATTGCCGCTCACGGCCAACGCCCAATGTGACGATTGTCGGAATCGGCCCTCGGCCTCCTCTAGGTCGACTCGGCCCCAAATGAGTACCTGGGTGCGGTGTGTAAAATCATCGCCGGTGGGGAGATAAAGGCGGTCGGGCGCGGTGTTGGCCACCCACCCCCTTCGTGTGCTGTTCCGGCCTTCATAGGTGCTGCTCGCTCACAACGCTTGCCCCAACAGTCAGTTACAGGCTACACGGGGGGTCTTTTTTACGCATCATCATCACCGTCATCATCATCAGCAGCAGTAACAGATTGTTATCAGCAGCAATACCAGGAGCATCATCATTATGATGATAATCATCATCTGCAAAAGGCATAGAAGCATCATCAGTAGCAGGAATAGCA